GTTGAGGAGGTTTTGGGGGGATTTGGGGGGATTTGGGGGGATTTTTGGGAGATCCTGGGGGGAGTTTTGGGGGTTCTGAGAGGATTTTGGGGGATATTAGGAGAATTCAGGGGGGATTTGGGGAGATTTTGGGGGATTTTAAGAGGATTTTAGGGGGATTCTGGGGGATTTGTGGGGATTTTGGGGGGAGGGGCTGATTTGGGGCTGTCCCCAAGGTGTCCCTGTCCCCGGATTTTGGGGGATTTTAGGAGAATTCAGGGGGGATTTGGGGGGATTTTGGGGGATTTTAAGAGGATTTTAGGGGGATTCTGGGGGATTTTTGGGGGATTTGTGGGGATTTTGGGGGGAGGGGCTGATTTGGGGCTGTCCCCAAGGTGTCCCTGTCCCCCGTGTCACGCCCCCGATGTCCCCTCAATGTCCCCAGGGCTCGGGGCTGCGGCTCCATTACGTCACTCGGGGTCCCCCCGGTGCCCCCCTGATGCTGCTGCTCCACGGCTTCCCCCAGAACTGGTCAGTGTCCCCAGTGTCCCCAAGTGTCCCCAAGGGTCCCCAAGTGTCACCAAGCTGTCACCAGGGGTCCCCAAGTGTCCCCAAGTGTCCCCAGGGGGTTCCCACCTGTCCCTAAGGGTTCCCAAGGTGTCCCTCCCCAATGGTCACCAAAGGTCCCCAAGTGTCCCCAAATGTACCCCAAGTGTCCCCAGGTGCCCTCAAGTGTCCCCCAGTGTCACCAGGTGTCCCTCAGGCATCTCCAAGTGTCCCCAAATGTCACCAAGGGTCTCCGAGTGTCCCCAAGGGTCCCCACGGGTTCCCAAGTGTCCCCAGGTGTCCCAAGGTGTCCCCAAGTGTCCCCATGCCCCCCTGCTCCTGTCCCTCAGCCTGTCCCCGCGGTGCCACCGCTGTCCCCAGTGTCCCCAGGTGTCCCCAGGTGTCCTCAGGTGTCCCCCTGTCCTCCATACTCCCGTCCCTCAGTCTGTCACCACGGTGTCACCGCTGTCCCCCATGTCCCCAGTGTCCTCGTGTCCCCAGTGTCCCCAGGTGTCCCCAAGTGTCCCCCACGTGTCCCCAGGTGTCCCCCAGGTGTCCCCAGTTGTCCCCAGCTGTCCCGGTGTCCCCAGTGTTCCCACTGTTCCCAGTGTCCCCAGTGTCCCCAGTGTCCCTGGTGTCCCCGTGTCCCCAGGTGTCCCCGGTGTCCCCAGTGTCCCCAGGTGTCCCCACTGTCCCCAGGTGTCCCCTGTGTCCCCACTGTCCCCAGTTCTCCCCAGTGTCCCCAGTGTCCCCGTATCCCCACTGTCCCCAGTTGTCCCCAGGTGTCCCCAGGTGTCCTGGTGTCCCCAGTGTCCCAGTGTCCCCAGGTGTCCCCAGGTGTCCCCCGTGTCCCCAGTGTCCCCAGTGTCCCCGTGTCCCCAGGTTCTGCTGGCGTCACCTGCTGCAGGAGTTCGGTGCCCGCTTCCGGGTGGTGGCCCTGGACCTGCGCGGCTGCGGGGACTCGGAGAAGCCACCGGGCAGGGACAGCTACCGGCTGGAGCTGCTCCTCGGGGACATCTGTGACGTCATCGAGGCCTTGGGGACACCGGCGGGGACGCCGCGCTGCGTCCTGGTGGGACACGACTGGGGCGGGGTCCTGGCCTGGGAGGTGGCCTCGGGCCACCCGCAGCTGGTGGAGAAGCTGGTGGTGATGGACGCGCCCCACAGGGGGGTGATGGCAGGTGACAGCGGGGACAGCGGGGGGACTGGGGACACTGGGGACACGAGGGGATATTGGGGACATTGGGGGGATTGAGGACAATGGGGACTCTGGAGATACTGGGGACATTGGGGATGTTGGGGACACTGGGGACATTGGGGACACTGGGGGGATGAGGGGACACTGGGGACATTGGGGACGGGGACACTGGGGACACGAGGGGATATTGGGGACATTGGGGGGATTGAGGACAATGGGGACTCTGGAGATACTGCGGACATTGGGGATGTTGGGGACACTGGGGACATTGGGGACACTGGGGGGATTGGGACATTGGGGATGTTGGGGACATTGGGGGGTTTGACACTGGGGACATGATGGGACATTGGGGACATTGGGATACTGGGGACAGTGGGACATGAGGGGACATTGGGGGACATTGGGGGACACTGGGGGGATTGGGGACATTGGCGGGATTGGGACATTGGGGACAATGGGGACTCTGGGGATACTGGGGACACTGGGAGGATTGGGACAATGGGGACATTGGGGACATCGGGAGCAGTGGGGGCATTGGGACAATGGGGACATTGGGGACATTGGGGGCATTGGGATACTGGGGACATTGGGGATGTTAGGGACATTGCGGATATTGGGGACATTGGGGAGTTTGGGGACACTGGGGACACAGGGGACAGTGGGGACATTGCAGACATTGGGGACATTGGGGACATTGGGCTGATACTGGGGACATTATGGATATTGGGGATGTTAGGGACAGTGGGGATTCTGGGGACAGTGGGGACACTAGGGACTTTAGGGACACTGGGGATACGGAGATCCCTGTCCCTGTCTCCACGGTGTCCTGTCCCCATGGTGACCCCACAGTGTCCCTGTCCTCATGGTGTCCCTGTCCCTGTCCCTGTCCCTGTCCCCACAATGTCCCTGTCCCCGTCCCCATGGTGTCCCTGTCCCTGTCCCCACGCTGTCCCTGTCCCCGTCCCCACGGTGTCCCTGTGCTGTCACAGCGTTCTCAGCCCGTCACCCGTCGCAGCTGCTCCGTTCCTGTTACCTGTTCCTGTTCCAGCTGCCCTGGCTGCCCGAGCTGCTGCTGTCCCTGGCCGACTTCCAGGTCAGCTGTCCCCCCTGTCCCCTCCCTGTCCCCTCTGTCCCCTCTGTCCCCTCCTGTCCCCTCTGTCCCCTCCTGTCCCCTCGCTGCCATCTCCCACCCCAAGGAGCTCCTCAAGAAGCCGCCGAATGGGCAGCGCCCAACCCCAAAGCGATGTCCCCCACTTTGTCCCCAATTTCGGGGGTGGTGGCACCACCCAGACCTCGTGTCCCCCTCTCTGTCCCCAGTTTTAGGGGTTTGGTGGCACCCAGAGCTCTTTGTCCCAAATTTTGAAGGGTGGTGGCATCACCCAGACCTCGTGTCCTCCATTTTGTCCCTAATTTTGGGAGTTTGGTGTCTGCCAGACCATGTGTCCCCCTCTTTGTCCCCAACTTTGGGGGGTCCTCAATGTCTCCTCAATGTCCCCAACCCCCATTTCCCCCATTTTGTCCCCACTTTTTGGGTTCCTGGCACCCCCCACCCCTAATTTCCCCATTTTGTCCCCAGATTTTGGGGTCTTGACACCCCCAACCCTAGTTTCTCCCATTTTGTCCCCCATTCTGTCCCCCCATTTTGTCCCCAGATTTTGGGGTCTTGACACCCCCAACCCTAGTTTCTCCCATTTTGTCCCCAATTTCCAGGGGTTGATGTCCGCAATTTTGGGGGTTTTGGTGCCACCCAACCCTAATTTCCCTTTTGATGTCCCCCATTTTTGGGGTCCCGGCGCCCCCCAACCCCATATCCCCCCATTTTGTCCCCAATTTTCAAGATCCTGGCACCCCCCAACCCTAAGTTCCCCCATTTTATCCCAAATTTTTGGGGTCCTGGCACCCCCCAGCCCTGATTTCCCCCATTTTGTCCCCAATTTCCAGGGGTTGATGTCACCCAGACCTCGTGTCCTCAATTTTATCATCGCTTCCCCCATTTTGTCACAAATTTTTTGGGTTCTGGCACCCCCCACCCCAATTTTCCCCATTTTGCTCCCCATTCTGTCCCCAGCTTTTGGAGGTTTGGTGCTACCCAGCCCTAATCTCCCCATTTTGTCCCCAGTTTGTGGAAGTTTGGTGCTACCCAGCCATAATTTCCCCCATTTTGTTCCCAATTTCGGCTGGTTCAGCATCACCCAATTTCCCCATTTTGTCCCAAATTTTTGATTGACACCCCCAACCCTAGTTTCTCCCATTTTGTCCCCAATTTCCAGGGGTTGATGTCCGCAATTTTGGGGGTTTTGGTGCCACCCAACCCTAATTTCCCTTTTGATGTCCCCCATTTTTGGGGTCCCGGCGCCCCCCAACCCCATATCCCCCCATTTTGTCCCCAATTTTCAAGATCCTGGCACCCCCCAACCCTAAGTTCCCCCATTTTATCCCAAATTTTTGGGGTCCTGGCACCCCCCAGCCCTGATTTCCCCCATTTTGTCCCCAATTTCCAGGGGTTGATGTCACCCAGACCTCGTGTCCTCAATTTTATCATCGCTTCCCCCATTTTGTCACAAATTTTTTGGGTTCTGGCACCCCCCACCCCAATTTTCCCCATTTTGCTCCCCATTCTGTCCCCAGCTTTTGGAGGTTTGGTGCTACCCAGCCCTAATCTCCCCATTTTGTCCCCAGTTTGTGGAAGTTTGGTGCTACCCAGCCATAATTTCCCCCATTTTGTTCCCAATTTCGGCTGGTTCAGCATCACCCAATTTCCCCATTTTGTCCCAAATTTTTGATGGTTCAGCACCACCCAATTTCCCCATTTTGTCCCCAATTTCGGGGTCCCCCCAGCTGGTGAGGATGTTCCTGACCAGCGCCTGGACGGGCATCCAGGACCCGGCGTGGCGGCTCTCGGAGCAGGAGCTCGACTCCTACCTGTTCAGCCTCTCCCAGCCCGGGGGGCTCAGCCCCCCCATCCACTACTACCGCAACCTCTTCGGGTGCGTGGGGGGCTGGGGTGGTCCCAGTTGGGGGTGGGACCCTTTTGGGTGCTCCCAGTTGGGTTTGGGTGATCCCAGTTGGGTTTTGGGGATGTCCCCCCGGTGTCCGTGACCGTGTCCCCTCCCCCCTTGCAGGGACACGCCCATCCCGCGCGAGCCGCCCCCTCTCCCCACGCTGCTGCTCTGGGGCTCCCGCGACGCCTTCCTGGACCCGCGCCTGGGCCCCGCCCACCTGCGCTGGCTCCGCCCCTCCGCCCGGCTCCGCCTCCTGCCCGGCGCCTCCCATTGGCTGCCCGAGGAGAGGCCCCGCCCCCTGGCCAAGCTGATTGGAGAGTTCCTTGGGGGAGGGGCCGAGGAGGGGTCTTAGCCATGCCTAGGAAGGGGGGGGTGGGGGAAGGGCGGGGTTTGGAGGGGCCCCAACATCTGGGGCAGGGGGGGATGGGACCCCAACATCTGGATGGGGACGCTGAAATTTGGGTGACGGCCCCAGCATCTGGAATGCAGACCCCTGGTGGGTGATGGGACCCCCAACATCTTGACGGGGACCCCCAAAATCAGGGTATGAGACCCCAACATCTGGCTGAGGATGCCAACATCTGGATGGGGACCCCAACATTTGGGTGGGACCGCCCCAAAGGTCAAGGGGGATGCGACCCCAACATGTGGAACGGGGACACCAAGGTCAGGGTGGCGACCCCAACATCTGGATGGGGGACCCCCGATATTGGGAGGATCATGGTGGGGACCCCAACATCTGGATGGGAATGTGGAAATTTGGGTGACGCCCCCAACATCTGGATGGGGGAGCCCCCAATATTGGGAGGATCCTGGTTGGGACCCCAACATCTGGAATGGGGGGACCCCGGGGGGGGGGGGGGGGGGGGGGGGGCGGAATCCCCAATATCTGGGCTGGACCCCCGAAAGGTCCAGGGTGATGGGACCCCCCCACATCTGCATGGGGTCCCCAAAATCAGGGTATGAGACCCCCCAACATCTGGAATGGGGATGTTGAAATTTGGGTGACGCCCCCGACGTCTGGAATGGGGACCCCTGATGGGTGATGGGACCCCCCCCCCAGCATCTGGGTGAGGACCCCAACATCTCGCTGGGGAACCCCAACATTGGGAGGATCCTGGTTGGGACCCCAACATCTGGAACGGGGATCCCAAAATTCCTGCGAGACTCTCGTCTTCCGGGTTTGGGCGGTGCTTTGTTCCGATTGGTTCGGGATTGTGTCAATCAAAATGATCAGCCAATCGAAGCGCAGTTCCTGGGTTCTCTGTTTTTATTGGCCTTCATGCATGCCAATCAAACACGCAAGCCAATCACAAAGCTGGAGAGGAAGGACTTTCCATCTTGAACAACAGCACTTCCGCGTTGGTGCTGTTCTCGCTTCCGATTGGTCCGCCTGTGTGTCAATCAACAGAATCAACCAATCGCAGCTCGGCTGGGGTGGGGGCGGGAACTGTGGGGGTGTTCTCGCTTCCGATTGGTCCGCCTGTGTGTCAATCAACAGAATCAACCAATCGCAGCTCGGCTGGGGTGGGGGCGGGAACTGTGGGG